GGGGGGGGGGGGGGTTGGTTTTTTGGTTTGTGATTTTTTTTCTGTGAATATCCAGAAGATAAACATGTGTTTTTAATATGGTTGGAAATCTGAAGGTGCTTTTAGCAGATGTTTTCTCATATATTTTTAAAGAGATTCCTTGATACTTACTGGAAAACTGAATGATATTCTGTTTGCAGGCAATTCCACCTGAAGTCACACCAGATGGGGGAAAGAATTAATCCTAAGTGGTTTGGAAACTGTAAGACATTGTGGGTCAGAGAAATACACAATGCCTTTCAAAGCACAGTGAAACTGTTGTGCAGTATGGACAGACACTACTGGACAAAGCAAAATGGAGCAATGATGAAAAACAGCTATCTAAAAAAAAAAAAAACAAAAACAAACCACTCTTCCCCATGCTGCTATCTATGTGCTTTTATCATATTGAAATGAAGTCACATGTAAGTCTTCAGAGAGTCTGGAATTTACCCCACTACATGCCAGGATTAAAGACCTTCTGGAAGGCAGTCCCTAATTTTATACCCAAGTGATTTTGAAGAATTTGGACTGAGAAGATGGGATAAACAGAATCTTCTATAAAGTGTTTGGGGAGCATAGGTAATGCCTGCATGTTAATTATTGCCAGCTATTACTTGCTTCTATGGAATTTAGGCTTCTTAGTGACACACATCTCTTAGGCATTGCACAGGTATATACTGAAATAAGTAAGCATGTAATTTCTCCTGCTTTGTTTATTAAGAAGGAGGTCTCCACTAAAGCATTCAATCTTCAGCTAATATAATCACAAGAATTCAAATTTCCACCAGACAAAGATCTGATTCAGGATCTTTACTTCACATAATACCCTCTAGCAAAATTATACTTTCACATACAGAAGAGAAATAATAAAGAACACACAAATTGATCATTGGTTATCAAACAGAGGAACTAAAAACTCACAATAAAATTCTAGTGCTACTGATGTCAGACACCCAACTACATCCTCAGACACAGGGCCTCATTTTAAGAGACAGCTAAGATTTTCCTGGGTGATAAAAACCTAATGGCATGTCTACACCTCTTGTGTAAAACCACAGAAAGGGAAAGGGGAGTTGTCCAGGACGTAAAGGTGATCAGCTTGCTGTCAGAGACTCGAGCTATTGTTGAGATAATTAAGAACTATTGCTAGGTTCTGTTCAGGAACAAGAATTTGAAGCACCACCCAGAGTTACTGTCAACCTGTCCTCCCTGGATCTGGAAAATCTGATCTTTCCTTTGTTATAGGCATTTGGGTTTTCAGGACCCTACATGAAGACCTAGGCTGTTCAAGAAAGTACAAGCATCACAGTCTTGAAAATGTCCGAGTAAATTCCAGCTTCCCACGCCTTGTAAAATAAGCCTCTAGGGTTGCCACTTCACATCCCACAGTACCCAGAGATCTGGCAACCGCTGCCAGATGAGAGGCTGGACAGAAACCTGACAAAGAAGTAGCATTGCTTCTCAAAGGCCTGTTGAGTATTTCAGAGCAGAAGGAAAATAATGCTCATGAGACTTAAAAGAAGGCCTGCTGAGGGCCAATAGAGTTGTTGGAAATAAAGAAGGGAATGTGAATAAGAACTAAAAATAGACCAAATTCTAAAACAAACAAAAAGAGAATTGGTAAAGGAAGGAAACCAAGGGACAAAACTAAACCTGGGGACTCAGTTGAACTCTTCCTGTTCCAAGACTTATCTATTATTGCCCCAGGGGGCATAAATTGTGACCTGTCATCTTTGGAAATACCATCATCCATTTAAAATTACCATATTGTATAATGTTATTTTTCCTATGAAACATTTCACTACAGACGCTGGATGTAATTATATATAAATTTGAGATGGGACTATGTCCCAAGGACTGAATGTGGTCGTCATTTTCTATTTATTACATCAGAAAGAACCCCAACTGGCTTAACCTGATGTAGCTGCCTTGACATTGACAGAGATGTACTCAATTGCATCAGCCATGGATTTATCTACAGTAATAAGTTAATGTAACAGAAGAATATCAGAACTGTAGACAAAATTCTCACTGCTGACCTTTTTATTCTCTGCTATGTCGTTCCACCCATTTATGATTTACTCACGTAACACAAGTACAGACCTGAAAAATCCTTATTATAGCAAAAGGTACAGGACACCAAATCAGCTTCTAAAATAAATACACGTTTCAGGACATCAAACAGCCTATCGTCCCCTGGCCTCATTTGGGGGAAACACTTGCTGTTGACATAAGGTACATGTTTATGGCAGATGAACATTTGTTTTCAATGAAATTGAACTAAGCTCTGCTGACCATACATAAAGTTTAGCAAACAACTGTCCACTATTTGCTTAAGTAATTCCATATATTGCATCAGATGATGGAATGGGGCGGGGGGTGTGGGGGGATGGAAATCAACAACTTTGCCATGTACAGCTGCTGGGACCACTGATTTTTAAAACAGACTGCTTAGAGATATTCCTGTCGTGGGAAATAGTTTTAGAGCATAGCATACATGCAGGACAGTTCCACAGGGTTCACTAAGATACAGAACTTGAGAAGCAAGCTGTGCATTCTCATCCATATGGGAAACTTGAGTCTATCAGAGACACAGTAGAGTCTCCACAGTAATGCTGGAAGAAATTCAGATAAAAAGGAAGAAGCGGCAACAATAAACCCCACTGCCCTTCTCACTGTAATACACACCCTGCAAAGGCACATAAACTCCTGTTGGAAGCAGTTGTAGTTACAACAGTCCTATAGTCTATATGGACAAGGTCCAATAGAAATAAAGTAAAAAGCACTGTTACAAATAACTTCTATAGTAAGATTAATAGCAGATTAATTCTTCTTCAGGTTTTTAAACATTTTAAATGAAAATATGAAATATTATTCTTTTCACATATTTGCCAGAGCTGGTTTCTTACCTGGATGTCCTTCTCCCACCGACTCCGATGTGAACATGAAAGCCCCTTCATCATCCAGTGTGTAATCACATAAACCATCCACTGGCCCATTCATGATTGTGATGCTTTTCCTGATGGATTATTAGAAACAGTGGTTGAAGAGTTCTACCTTTAGTGCCTTCTCTTAAAGGAGAAGGTTCTTTATCAGCAGGACTATTGCTGTCTTCACTTACTACCTCTTACACTACCTTGAATTTCAGTGTGTGAAATCAGCATGTGCTTGCATCTGCGTACGCATGCAAGGAGTATGCATGTGCCTGAAGTCTGTATCCCTACCTAGCCTGATCTGTCAGTCCCTGAGCTGCTCCTATATATGGAAAAGTGAAAGTGCCTAGATAATCATGTGAGGAAAATGGAAGAGCCCATTTCTTGGCAGGGGAGTTAGCTAACTTCAGGATATTTCACTAATTAACTGAGTTCTTGGAAACTTTCTGGATCCACCTCATGCAAGGTTGGTTATCTTAGCGACTCAACTGAGCATGAAGTAATGCAGGAGTACTAGTGACAGTTCAGGTCAGCTGCTTCTTCAGTTTGTCTCTCCCCTAATTCTGGGATCTATGTTGTGCTTCCAACTGTATGTGGTGGTTTTACAGGGATAGATTAAAAATCTGTAAATGCATGTCTTTCCTAGCAAGAGACTAAGAAGTTTGTTCTGCATCATATAACTGTATTTTCCTCTTACTTTTTCATCTCTTGAAAAGTAGAATTCTCTCCTGAAATATTTTTTTTCATTTTCATTCGTTCTTCATGCACATTTGAGAGACGAAACCTCTGATAACATCTAGCATGACGAGTGTTTCTCATTTATGCAGACCTCTCCCTTCAGCCTTTGCTTTTCTTTTCCTCTGTCTATATCCATTAGAAATACATTAATTGCCACATCTGAATACTCAGTGCTCAGTTCTGCTACTGAAAATTTCTTCTACAGTCAGATGGCTCATGTCTGGAATATGCTGATGGTATGACAGGTATGAAGACAGATGGTATTTTGTAGGTATATATGCTATTAAGTTAGTATACAAAAAAAACAAGTAAACATACTCATGGAGTAGGTACAGAAAATGCCCAGAACTACTGCACCATTATAAAAAAGTGTAATTATTCTTATTCTTCAGAAACTATTCTAGTCTCAATCTCAGACCAAATTATTGGTCTACCAAAATAAAAAAAATTCCCTTTACTTCAATGAACACTGAATCATACTCTCTTAATCATTTGTTTAGATGTTACAGTAAAGAACCTGATACTTGGATTGGAATGAGGAACATGCTGCTTGTTCCATAGGCCTTGCAATTTTGACAGTGATGAAATCCTTAATCCCTTCAGTTTAAAGACTGACTTAGTTTACTTAAAATCCTTGGACAGTATTATTTTAAAACATCACTTTATATGGCCCTTTGGGTTAAAATTTCTGCATTGCTATGTATTTATGTAAGAATTCATTAGAATTTTCACTTCCTGCCTACATTCCTGAAAACAATAACCAATGCCTGTGAATGTTCACCAGTAATCTGCTGTAGCATTGGCCTCTGTCTAATTATCATTGACATGAAATTGTTAATCTCAAAGACATTCTTTTGGTTTTCTGTTGTACAGAATTCATTTCACAGAACAAAAAGCACTGGTTGCACTTAAAAATGCAGAATTCACACATCAGATACATGTTGTGAGGCATAGCTTTCTCTGGAGTAAACTGTCATCACCCCACTGATATGAAGATTCTATCCCAGTCTGAATAAATTACACATTAACACCACCTAGAAAAATAGAATTTGTGAAAAAAGTAGAAGACCAAACAGTAACTAATTATATTAAACCTAGTTAATGGGTAACTTTCAAAAATTATATTAGCTTTTAAAGTAAAATAACACCATTGATAAGCACTCATTCTTAAATGTAGATTTTTTTCTCTATAGAAGCACAGAAACACATGATAGGAATGCATGAAACACCTCTGACAAAAGGTGTCTGTAAGAGTTTTCATTCTAATTCTACAAAAAATCCTCCAGCAAAGTAGACAAGATTGACTATTGTCAGTCTGTGAATTCCACTCTCTCTTGCTTCTGTTTTTGCTTTTTCTTGGTTTTCAATGCCACTGCAGGACAGAAATTGTATTTTGGGAACCAGCATTCTTTTTTTTAAGGTAACAAGCAGAATGCAGAAACAGGCCTCTCACATAATCCTTTTATCCCATATAAAAATAAAACCCACAAGCTTTGCTCAAGAATGCAAGTAATTTGACATACATGAGTAATGAGTTTGCAGGTCCATTGTTTATTTTGCTTTTACAGTTCCTCTTTTTGGACTCACTTCTGTCTAGAGAAATGCATTGGTCCTTGAGACCTTTGGAGGGACACTCTTCATTAAAATAGTGTCTCTGCTAACAGTATTCTAGAAATGCTGCACAGCTGCATTTCACATAACTTGTGTAAAACACTCCAGTTTGAACTGTTTCCAGGTGTCATTTTACTATGAAGAGCAACACATTTGCTTTATGGCCATGAAGCATCTCAGCATGTCCTCTTCTAGGACATCTGTGACCAACTCTAAACCACTGTAGTGTTAGGTAATGTTTAATTTGGCTTCTCTTCCTAGACAATTTGACTTGTTAAATATTTGTAAAAACGTAAGACAGTGCTCAACCATCACATCTTTTTGGCACAGATCTTCTGCCTATGCAAAAAAAAAAAAAAAAAAAAAAAAAAAAAGAGGATGAGGATGATAGTGAAATAGTGAATGATACCAGCATTTTTCGCTAGTCCATTTTATTGATAATGACTCATCAATCAATGTAACATGCTTCCAAATTTTCTGTTAACTTTATTGCCATATTCAACAGCTCTGTGGGACTGAGTCCTAAGAAAATCAGTTTCCCTGCAAATCTCTTTATAATTCCTATATTTCCCACCATGGTAGTAACTTTTGACTACATTCTATGACCTTTACTCGAAAGATACCTAACGGCAAAATCCTTTCAATCAGTATGACTTATGTGCTTTGAAATGAGGCTAAAGATGGGAAAATCACAATGTAAAAATAAAACTGTACTTCTGTATTGCTGTAAGTATTTATTCATATTGACTATAACGTCAATCCCAACTGCTGGAATAGCAATGTGAAACTTTCTATTAACCATAAGAGTCTTTTATTTGGCACCATCCTGTGGTTTTGCTACTTTTACTCATAGCAGTTCTGCAAAACTACCCCCCTTCTAGTTCATGTAACACTTATAAGCTCTCAGAAGGCATGGTTTTACTGTAGCCTTGAGAAGCCCTGAAAATAATTAAGTGAATAAGATTTCACTGAGAGAAAAATTTTATGAATGATTGCTATTGATGCTGCTGACTCTCTAGACAGATATGACTGATAAATTGTCTTGGCCCTAGACCTCTCATGACATATTCTCGTCACATCCTTTTACTTGCTCACCTTCTCCTTTCCTACCCTTATCTGCTTTTCTCCTCTATTCCCCTCCTCTCATTTGTCTTGTTTATATCCTTTTGTTTAAACCGCATTTCCCTTTCTTCTTTTTTGTTCCATTTACTTACTCCTTTTACTCCTTTCCATTTCCCTACCTATCTCTATTGATGTCCCATTTATGTTATAAACCACTGAGAATGGATCCTGCATGGATGAAAGGTATCTGTAGAAATAAGAAAATTAGTTTGAGCTAATAGCTTACAGATAAAATACTTCTGAACTGTCATGGCAGAATGGGAAGGAAGAAAGTAGATATCCTTAAGACCTGGTAACCCTCACTTTAGCTGCAGAAGAATCATGTTTTCACTGGAAGCGGTACAGGTTTAGACTCTTTTACTCATACTGTTTCACCACTATGGTAACTTTTATGTGACTTCTTTTGAGTGAGGAAGAAACCGTATCAAGAACTCTGAAGAACGTCTACATGACTAGAATCAGTCATGGGAAAATGACTGCTTAAGCTATGTAACTTGTCTCTCTCACCACAACTTTCAAATGCAAAGGACAATGTCTTGATTTGTAGAGAGCACACACTTCACAGTAACTTAAAACTACAATTCCAGTATCATTAAAGGACCCAAAGTCATGCTTAACTTTAACAATATAGAGACATACTTCATGCGTACAAATAATACATAGGAAAGTGTTTTCATAAACACTTTTGTTTTGTTCTCCCAACTTTATCATCAGACAAGACTTGGTTTTACTAAAGTTAAATTTAACAGGTCAACAGTTTAAGTCTCTTATCTTGCTATTTTATTCTCACTTTACAAATCATGCAAGGAATTTACTCCTAATTTATGTCCGTGGAAATAAAAGTTTTCCATGTGTTTACAAAATAACTTTAATACTAGTTTAATTCGTGCTATTTACTAGGAGTAGTTCATACAATGCAAATGGTGTGCTTTCAAGAAGTTACTGTAGTTCAGTTTTCTCTTATTGGAAATAAGCACTAAATTGTGGGAGCCTCACGGGGATGTCTTTGAGGGGTTTTAGGTTTGTTGGTGAAAATACATGATTTAGCCCATACATTTTCATTTGGGGGAGGTGGATGCTTTGTTTTGGTTTTAAAGTTAATATAAAGATTTGTTTAGCTGGGTTTATTTCTTTTGCATGAAGAATTACAAGCCTGGTCAGTGCAATAATGCTTGAACATCAGGAAGCCAACACAGAACTCCCACCTGCTTCAGAACCCTTAAGTCTATCTATTATTACCTGAAATTGAGAGTGGCTCAAGGCCTCTCAGATGTGCAGGTGTAGAATTTCACTGGCCCATAAACACTCAGGGCAAAATAAATATTGTGGGGCAGAAAAAACAGATTGTGATTGTAGAATGAAAGGAGGTAGTACATATTCTGAGATGGGTGTTTATCACCCAGGGTTTGTTATTTCCTATCACCTTTCTTTTCCTCTGGAGGATGGGACCTCCTGCAACCTCTGTACACTATCATAAGCAATTCAGCTCTTTCATTCTTGAGTGTTCTTGTAATTTTTGAGTGAATAGCAGTTCCACTCACAGCAATTTCTTGGCATGCATTCTATGTAACTTATTCCACAGTTACTTCAGCTTCAGAGACAGTCTGCTGTGTCCCCCATTTGCCTTCCCTTACACTCCTTAAGAAGTCTTTCCAGGTTCCTCCACTACTAACATCAAATAAAATAATTAATTTTGCTCCTTTCCCATGTGCTTGTCCTCTTTGCATCTGTTTGACCTCAAATTCTCTATTCTGACACATTGCTGAATCATACAGTATTTGAGGCTGGATGGTCTCTAGTCCAACCTGCTGCTCAAAGCAGGACC